TTATATTATTTCGGTGAATTAGATTCCTCTCACATAATCTTTTATTTATAATTAATCTTCTTTTTTGGTGAAAATTAAAATCCTTTCTCCAGAAAAAGAAAAGAAATTGCTTTTTCAAAGATTAAATGAATATTCCTTCCAACGTGATGGAGAATATTTTTCTTGGAGTTAAATTACTTATGAAATATGTATATATTTTATTGTTTATCCAACCATTGAATCAAACTTGTTTCTGATAGCCTTTTCATATATATGATAATATTTTTTAGATGTAATTTCTCTTTAACGCTTTCAATATATTTTATTATCACTCTTTATATGTTGATAATGCTAAATCTAATAAGATCTTTAAAAAAAAATCATAAATCTTATATAAGTTACTAAATAAAATAAGTTTATCTATACAATGTTTTATACTTGTGGTATATATCTTGTTGATGCAGAGATTTGGCACCATCAGAAATACATGATTACGCGTCACGTAGGATGTGTGCATATCCCCCGTCCCCCCCCCCCCCATCGCGTACTGATGGGGCCCCCCCAAAAAAAAAAAAAAAAAAGAAAAAAAAGAAAAACACCCCCCCCCCCCCCCCCCCCCCAAACCCAACCCCCCACCCGAAAATAAAAGAAGAAAAAAGAAAAAAAAAAAAAAAAAAAAAACAAAAAGCCCCCCCCCAGTGGATCAGCGATAAAATAATAGAGATGAATATTTTAAATATGTCATTACATGGTTAAGTTGGAGACAACTCAAATTCAATTTAACTGGGAGTTTGCGCTATTATCAACCTTGATTAAGGATCCATTTGTGAATTATCTGCATGCCAAATGGGGATTTTATCCTCTCCGGATTTCCCACACAACATATATGATTAAAAAAATATGTTATTTGTTAAATTAATTACAAATATTAAAATTAAAAATAATTTCTTCTTTCTTTCTTTTTTCGTTTTTAAAGACAAATGGTGATAAGGGATTTAATTTGACATAATACCATGGAATCGGTTTTCTCTTCAACTACTACTCTTGCTTCACTAACCACTTCTGCCGTTAGTGGTTCTGATGTGCCTTGGTATATACCAACAACATCTTCTGGTGAACAGTTATCTACTGAGTCTACTGAGTCTGCTTCAACACAGCCAACACAATCTGATGCTCCAACACAGCCGTTACATCCTGACATATCCAAGCCTTCACCAGCTATCCTTATGACTGAACTGGAATCTTTAAGACCTGTTATTTCATGTGATAATTCACTTACAAATATTACATCTACAACTGAGTTAAATCATTCTGAATCTGCCAGACAACTTCAATCTCTACATTCTGATGCTCCAACATGGTCATTACATTCTAACATATCTCCAAGACCTGTTGTTTTATGTGATAATTCACCTACAAATACTACTTCTACAGCTGAGTTCAACTCCTCTAAATCTGCCAGACAACTTCAATCTGCTTGTAACCTATCTCTTATATCTAATACTCAATGTTAGTCAGCATCATCATCTTCTCACAATAGTATCCCTGGTACTGAGTTGGAGGTGGTTCTACCTAATATATATACTGTAGCACAGAACACTCATCTCATGCTAACCCGATCCAAAACTGGACATTCTAAACCAAATCTTGAGTACATTGCCTATCAAGCTGTTGTTACTAGTCCTACTATACTTTCAAAACCCAAGACTATCACAAAGGCTTTACTAAGTCCTGAATGGAAGCATGCTATGGACATTGGATATCAAGCTTTGTTAAGGAACAATACTTGGGATTTTGTTCCCTATGAAGAAGGCATAAATGTGGTAAGATGCAAATAGGTTTTCAAAACCAAACTACATTCAGATAGAACTTTGCAAAAGTACAAAGCAAGGCTGATTGCTAAGGGCTTCCAACAGACCCCAGGAGTGGATTATTTTGACACATTTTCACCAATGGTAAAGGTAGCCACAATCACGGTTATGTTATCATTGGCAGTGCATCATAATTGGCCCATTCAATAGTTGGATGTCAACAATGATTTTCTTAATGGAGACCTGACAGAGAAGGTATTCATGCTACCTCCTGAAGGCTACTCTAGTGGTGCAAGGAATAAACACAATCCACGGCAGGTTTGTAGGCTAAATAAAGCCTTGTATGGACTTAAACAAGCTCCTAGAGCTTGGTTTGATAAATTAAAATCTGCATTGGTTGATTGAGGTTTTGAAAATTCAGTTTCAGATGTTAGTTTATTCTTCTATAAGAAGGATTCTATTCTCATGTATCTACTAGTATATGTAGATGATATTCTTATGACAGGAAACGATGCTCAGTTTATCTCAACTCTAGTTGCTGACTTAGATAAAAAATTTGCTCTAAAGGCTCTCGGGGCAGTGCAATATTTTCTGGGATTTGAAGTTAAAAGGAATGTAGATGGTTTGCTCATAACTCAGACCAAATATGCACAAGACCTTCTCACAAAAGCTGGAATGGCAAAATCCAAACCCTACTCTACACCTATGGCTACTAGTCTTAGACTTGGAAAAAAAGATAGTAACTTGTTTGATCAACCTACCCTATATAGGAGCATCATTGGTGGCCTGCAGTACTTAACCCTATCCAGACTAGATTTAGCTTTTGCTGTAAGCAAGCTTAGCCAATTCCTATAGCAGCCTACTGAAGTTCATTGGACAACTTGCAAAAGGACCCTAAGATATGTTAAAGGCACTCTACACCATCGCATTCTTTTTACTAAAACACAGCCATTCAAACTAGAAGCATTTGTTGATGTCAATTGGGCTGGGGATGAAACTAACATGAGATCAACCAGTGGCTACAATGTTTTCCTAGGTGGTAATCTGGTTTAGTGGTCCTCTCGAAAACAAAAAGTAGTTGCATTGTCATCTATAGAGGCTGAGTATAGGTCACTTAGTCAGGCTGCTATGGAGTTGGTCTGGATTCAAAACTTATTCTCACAGTTGGGCATATTAGTCACACTCCAATCATTTGGTGTGACAACATGAGTGTTGGAGCACTCTCTTCCAATCCTGTTTTTCACACCCGCACAAAGCACATAGAAATAGATGTGCATTTTATTAGAGATTTGGTGACTAGAAAGCTGTTAAATGTTCAGTACATTGCCTCTGAATATCATATTGCAGATCTGTTAACAAAAGCTCTCCCCAACTCTAGATTTATCATGTTGCAGGACAAGCTTACTATTACATCTGAACTCCCTACTGATGAAATTGTTAAGTGTGCTAGTGATGATCAACATGAGTAACGGATAATGTATTGAGTTAATGTTCTGGTTTTGATTGCTAGCCATTTCCTTTGTTGAAATGTTGGTTACGGATAATGTGTTGAGTTGATGTTCTGGTTCTGATTGCTGGCCATTTCCTGTGTTGAAATGTTGGTTACGGATAATGTGTTGAGTTGGTGTTCTGGTTCTGATTGTTGGCCATTTCCCGTGTTTAAATGTTGGTTTGATTATGGCTACTGGGATTTTTTTTTTTTTTTTTTTTTTTTTTTTTTGGGTTCAAGATTCAAGTTAGATGTGTTGCAGAATTTTTTTTTTATATATACAGATTTTCCTTTTTGATGAAAGTGTGCAAGCACAGTTGCTCATAAGTAGTGATAAATGTGTTGAGTTGTTGGTCTGACTTTGATTGCTGGAAAATGTGTTGAGTTGTTGGACTGACTCTAGTTGCTGAAATTGGTGCAAAAATGCAGAATATAAGTAATTGACTGTTGCAGGCTTGTCCTGACTCTGATTACTGAGAATTTACCGGTTAAATGCTCAAATTGGTCCAAAAATGCAGAATAAGAGTAATTTACTGTTGCAGGCTGAAATGTGTTGAGTTGTTGGTCTGACTCTAGTTGCTAAAATTGGTGCAAAAATGCAGAATAGAAGTAATTGACTGTTGCCGGCTGCTACAAAGTTGTCCTGACTCTGATTGCTGAGAATTTAGTGGTTAAATGCTCAAATTGGTGCAAAAATGCAGAATAAGAGTAATTGACTATTTCAGGCTGCTACAGAGTTGTTCTGACTCTGATTTCTGGGAATTTACTGGTTAAATGTTCTAGATTGGTGCAAAATGCAGAATAAGAATAGTTGACTATTGAAGGCTGCTAATAGTTGACTATTAAAGGCTGCTACAAAGTAAGGCCAAACTTGGAAGTAGAATAAGGCTAAAGAGTGTCTAGCTTATGGGGGAATGTTGGTATAAGAAAGTATTTCCAAGTACTGTATCAATATCAAGTACTTTGGTTTAAGGGAGGATATTGTGTATGAAAGTGAGTGAGAAGGGTGTTTATGTAAAAGACCAAAGCTTGGGGTCTGTTTTGTAAAAGATCAGAACTTGATTGTCATACGGTGACGTTTTGTTCATCTTGTAGCTGCTATATAAGTTCAGCGTTGTTCTGTTTATGTGAGTTAGTCAATTAATAAAAGTTTTATGTTCTTCGACTCTTTAGCTCAGTTTACTTCTCTCTCGAATGTTTTTCTGTTTTTCATTTTTCTTTCAAGTCCGCTCTAGAATCTTCAATGTCAAATAAATTAAAATATTAATTAACCTATTAAATTTATCCATTTTTAATTTCGTAATTATAATTGTCATTTAAATATAGCACGGGATTGCTTAGTACATACGTGGGCGTATTTAGAAGGACCCTAGAAAAAGCCAGGCCCAGGTTCGGAATCCGATTGATGATTTTGGCGGGTTCTTGTACAAATCCGAACGTCCCAGCCGATGAGACTCGTGATCCAATTGGTCAGTGGACTACACGAACTCGGACTTGGACGGGGCGATACAGTCTATGAACCGAACGTTACAAATTTGAAACCCAGCCCACCGTTTCATTTTCATTTTTTCAAACAGCGAGGGAAACAAGCTGCGTGGTTTAACTGAGCTTCCTCCAAAACATTGCCAAGTGCCGCTAAACATTTATCACTTGGGCATACTAACAATGGCCGTTTCTGTCTTCCTTTTGGCTTCATTTCACCTTTTCGATTCCTGCTTATCTTCGGTTCTATCACTTCTATTTGGCTATATATACCACACATTTTCTCCTCTTGATTTCTCCATCTGTTTTTCCTTTATTTTCATTTTCTCTCCGATTTTAGGTTTGATTTTGGTTGATTTATTTGTTTTTGAGGAATTACGCCTCATACTAGGTTGGAACATTTGGGGAACATGAGAGATCGAGTTCAAGACACGCTTTCTGCTCACAGAAACGAACTTGTTTCTTTACTTTCCACGTTAGTTCCAGATTGAACTGTATTCTTATGAAATTTTCAGTTGCATGTTTGGATCTCACAAATATAAACGCTTATTCTAGAGATTTTATTTTATTTTTGTTTAGGTATGTGGCTAAGGGAAAGGGGATCCTGCAACGTCATCAACTGACGGATGAACTGGCCAAAATTGCTAAAGAAGACGAAGGAATGGAGAAGCTGAGCGATGGCTCTTTCATGAATGTCCTGCAATCTGCACAGGTCAAACCAAACTCAGCGCGAATCTGGTTTCTAGTTTACATCATGCTCAAGCATTAACTCTTTATTTATTTATATTTTTTTTTTACTAGTTCCGAAGTACTCAGAAAATACATTATGAAACTTAAAATAGCAAGTTGATAATCAATACCTTCCATTTACGAATCAATTTAGGTTCAGAAATTACATTTAGTTAGTGCTAACTTATCATTTTAAGTTTTTTAACAAGTGTAATTACATAACCGTTTTGATTATTTGATATGTATTTATTGTGGCTTTTCCTTTAGCTGTTTGATTTTTTTTTCTTCTCTTCTAAGGTTATTCTTAATTCATGTTCACAGGAAGCCATAGTTCTTCCTCCATTCGTGGCTCTAGCAATTCGTCCTAGACCTGGTGTTTGGGAATATGTTCGTGTTAATGTATATGAACTCAGTGTGGATCACTTGAGTGTCGCAGAATATCTTAAATTCAAAGAAGAACTCGTGGATGGACAGTAAGGAATCGATCTGTTTTATAAATGATAAATCTTGACTACTGTTTTGAATCTCAGAATTTGGTTTTTGAGAATGCCTTGTTTTTTCAAATCATGTTTGATGGTGATTTGAGCTGCATTTTCAAAAGGAATGACAATTTCAGTTTTGAGATATGAGGACTCTTTTCTTTAATAAACAGCTTCTGAAAAGGGTTCAATGTTTGTGCCGCTTCATGTCTCATTTCACTTTTCTTTTTATTTCATCAGCAATATTAGAATTTGGACGTTTCTTTGTGCCAGGTCCAATGAAAACTATGTGCTTGAACTTGATTTTGAGCCATTTAATGCAACATTTCCTCGACCAACAAGGTCATCATCCATTGGCAATGGGGTTCAATTCCTCAACCGTCATCTATCATCAATTATGTTCCGCAACAAAGAAAGCTTGGATCCTTTGCTTAATTTTCTTCGTGCACACAAGCATGATGGGCATGTAAGTTTACTTGAGCTTTTGGCTTTTACTGAATGTAGAGACTATATCTCTTGTTATTTTATGTATATTCAACCTGAAGCCTATGCCTTTTTTAGAATGTATTGTTAAATAATCTATTGCACAGTGCTATATTGATATTCTTCCAAAAAAATATTTGTTTTACATCTGGCTTCTTACCAATTTCAAATATAGATGACAATGAAAGAAGAGTTAATTGTTAATTTCAAAGGCAGACAATGAAATCAATATTTTGAAATTTTCCATTATATTGTCTAGGCGATGATGCTGAATGATCGGATACAGAGCATGTCCAAACTACAGTCTGCTTTGGTGAGGGCTGAGGAATACCTTTCTAAGCTACATCCTGACACACCTTTTTCTGATTTCGAATTTGAGTAAGTACTTTTATTTATTTTCATTTGCTCAAGTAATTTATTCTTATAAAGATTTTCTGGAAATTCTTTTATTTGTGTGCTCAAATAACCTATTATTTAGATTTTAATTTCTTTAATACTCTGAGTGTAGTTTACAAGGAATGGGTTTTGAGAGAGGTTGGGGCGACACAGCACAACGGGTATCAGAGATGGTGCACCTTCTCTTGGATATTCTTCAGGCTCCTGATCCTGCTACCCTGGAGACATTTCTTGGGAGGGTTCCAATGGTGTTCGATGTCGTTATTGTGTCTCCGCATGGTTACTTCGGTCAAGCAAATGTCTTGGGTCTGCCTGACACTGGAGGGCAGGTATTCTTATAAATTCTACTTATTGTTTATGCATTCAGTTAAAATTGGGGACATTGATACATGCATCAAGTGTTGTTTTTTTGTCTATATGTCTTCAAGACTTTGTACTTCCAGCTATCTATAATTTTGAAAATAACAAATTGTACTGTTACTTATGATACACAGATCGTTTATATACTTGATCAAGTGCGTGCTTTGGAGAATGAGATGCTTCTTAGAATACAAAAGCAAGGACTGGATGTCATCCCAAAAATTCTCATAGTAGGTTTTCTAAAATTTCCATCTACTTAAAAGTTCAGCCAACCTATGTATTCACTCTCTTTTGCATTCACTGAGTTTTACATAAATGGCTGTATTAATTTATGAACAAATGGTGGTTTAAGGTTACCCGACTCATTCCGGATGCCAAAGGGACGACATGCAACCAAAAAATAGAAAGAATAAGTGGAACAGAGCACACAAACATACTGCGAGTGCCTTTTAGAAATGAGAATGGTATTCTTCGTAAATGGATTTCAAGGTTTGATGTGTGGCCATATTTGGAGACTTTTGCTGAGGTAGGTACTAAACAGTGTTATATTTGTTTCTCTTTTCCTTCCAATTGGTGTTAACAAATCAGAGCTTGGATTACATACCCTTGATGCTGTAGGATTCTTGGTTATGAATTCTATTACGTAGGTGAAGTGCTAATGCGATTGAACTACTGGATTTATAAAAAGTTTTTAAGTTTTGGGCATGTAAATGTTAATTCTTAGTAACACAAGATTGAAAGGTTAGTACATCATGTGCAATTTTTTTTAATAAGAACTTATCATAAAATCAATATATGTTAGATTGAAAGAGAGAATAAGTGGAAACAGATATCTGGAATGCATTTTTATAGAAGCTATTATAAGCGGGCTAGCTTATATCTTTCAAGTTTGACATTTAAAAAGCTGTAGGAGTGCAGAATTCTGAACTTACAGCATGGTAATCATTTCCTAATTTATTAAAGAAGAAAAACAGGAGTGGACTGTGTAATAGCAGACGAGTGTTCCATATTTTGTATGCTTTCTCTCATAACATGAAAAGGTTATATTTCACTCTCTTTTTTTGGCTGTTGCTAGGATGCATCAAATGAAATTGCTGCTGAGTTACAGGGTGTTCCAGATCTGATCATTGGCAACTATAGTGATGGAAATCTTGTTGCATCCCTTTTATCATTTAAGCTAGGAATCACACAGGTTTGCTGTGATTTTTCCTAATTTATTTTCAGATGATAAAAGAATTGGTATCTGCAAGAGGCCATTTCTTCTAGTTTTAATTTTATTTTTCCTGCTCTATTAATGTAGTGCAACATTGCACATGCCTTGGAGAAAACAAAGTATCCTGATTCTGACATATATTGGCGGAAATATGAGGACAAGTACCACTTTTTAAGTCAATTTACTGCTGACCTTGTTGCAATGAACAATGCAGACTTTATTATCACCAGTACATATCAAGAGATTGCAGGGAGGTAAGTTCTGTGTTTATTAATTTGCAATGGAATTGAAATTCAAATAACCAATTGTCCTTTGGCTTGAATCTCAGTTTGCTACCCTACTATATTTGTTTCTGCTATTGCCTTTCGAATGTGCTTCTACTGAAGTCAAATAAACTATATTTTTAGTTTGAAATTCTGTTCTATATAATTAAGTTCATTATGATTTAGTGGAGTAACCAACTATTGAAGTCCTTATAACCCTTTGCCCCTTTGTTCTTCAGAGATCCTACTTCCTTCACTTCCCACTTTATTAGCTCTGTTGCTTATCAAGTTGCTTACAGTCTCTGTTTTGTACCTCAGCAAGAATAATGTTGGACAGTATGAGAGCCACACAGCTTTCACGCTTCCTGGGCTGTATCGAGTTGTTCATGGCATTGATGTTTTTGATCCCAAGTTCAATATCGTGTCCCCAGGGGCGGACATGTGCATATATTTTCCTTACTCTGACAAGGAAAGAAGGCTTACTGCTCTACACGGTCCAATTGAAGAACTTTTGTATGATCCTGAGCAGAATGATGAGCATGTGTAAGATCTTACTATCTGAAGTTCCATTTCGTGTGATTTTGCGGCCTGTTATCTGTCATTTCATTTATGATTCTTGATGTTCAAGGCGTAGTTTAAATTGCTTCAATTATCACAAGAGCCCAGAGGCATCACTTAGAGTATCTTTGGCTACCTTGTACCAATCTGGATATTTAACCATCTCAGCAAATTATATAGGAAAGAATATAGTGACTTAATCAACCACAACATACTCTTGAACAAGATACTACGCATGTACATTTTTGTTTGTGTCTTTTTAAACGCGTAGTTACTTATCTATCCCCGTGCAGTGGTATGTTGCATGATCGATCAAAACCCATCATCTTTTCCATGGCAAGACTTGATCGGGTGAAAAACTTGACGGGGCTTGTTGAGTGCTACAGTAAGAGCAGCAAGCTAAGGGAAATTGTAAATCTTGTTGTGGTTGGTGGTTACATCGATGCCAAGAATTCCAGGGATAGAGAAGAAATGGCTGAGATTGAAAAGATGCACAGTCTCATTAAACAATACAATTTGCATGGCCAGTTTCGATGGATAGCAGCTCAAATGAACCGTGCACGTAATGGTGAGCTATATCGCTATATTGCGGATACAAAAGGTGTTTTTGTGCAGGTATGTGACTCATAGATGTGCAAATCCAGTGAAACCACTTGTTTTCAACCATCTTAAGTGTTTGATGTCTAAAAATTCTTTTTCTTTTTTCTAATTTCTTGCAGCCCGCTTTCTATGAAGCTTTTGGCCTCACAGTTGTGGAAGCCATGACTTGTGGGCTTCCTACATTTGCCACTTGTCATGGAGGCCCTGCTGAGATCATTGAGCATGGTATTTCAGGGTTCCATATTGATCCCTATCACCCTGATCAGATGGCTGCTAATCTTATTGAATTTTTTGAAAAGTGCTCAAAGGATCCTAGTTACTGGAACACGATCTCCGATGGAGGGCTTAAACGAATTTACGAAAGGTCCATTTTTTCTTGATAGTCCTGCATAAAAAAAAAAAAAATTAATAAAAATAACCTTTTAGCATACTTGATTGTTATTGATTCAAAATCAATTATGCAGGTATACATGGAAGATATATTCTGAGAGGTTACTGACATTAGCCGGGGTTTATGGCTTCTGGAAGTATGTGTCCAAGCTTGAGAGGAGAGAGACACGCCGGTATCTGGAGATGCTTTACATCCTCAAGTTTCGGGATCTGGTTAGTAATCTTATTTTCTCCCGCCAATTTCTTACCATCAAATTTCTTCACAATGAACTTCACCTGTAATTGTAGTGGATAGTAAGTGTGTTGAATTATTAACCTTTTCGATACTTTGAGATTGAAATCTTATCATTGCTTGTATTTTAAATTTGATTCAGGCGAAGTCCATTCCGCTAGCTGTGGACGAGCAGCATTGAACTTCATCTGAAGAGGAAGCTGTTAGCTGTGTGTGTGCTTCTGCAGCTGGTTTCTCCATAAGTTATGTGTCGAGTTGTTGATTCTGTTGTGAATTTGTCTTTCATTTAGTAGAATAGTGTGGTGACTCCTCTTTGATGTACACTGGAGTTACTATTCTGTTATGCGTCAGGTTCAGTGTGAGTTTTTACTTGTATGCCTAATAAAATGTCTTCAAAGTGCCTGTCTGTGCTCAGTAATTATCTCAATAGCTTAGGGCAGTCCTGGATAATTAGATAACTTTTTTAGCTTGCAATCGTAATCAAAGTTAGAATATGGCACTTTCAGCCATTAAATCAATGCTGACTTTAGACGTAACTATAATTTATATTGTTAATAAACAATGAAAAATGTAAAGATGATTTCCTATATATAAGGTTTCTGTTAAATTTGAGGATGGATTAGTTGGCCTGTTGGGTAGAATATTTGAAAAATGTTATTATAAAAAAATGTTTTTAGAATTGGATTAAATCGAATATGATCACATTCTGAAAATGTGTTTAGTAAAATATCTGAAAACTATATCAGCGTTGGATAAAATGTTGGAATAGTTGTTTGATATATTTTTTTTAAAACGATTTTTAAAACAGAACAGTTGTTTGATATATTTTCTGAAAATATTTATTATTTTTTTTTAACCTTTATATTTGTTAATTTAACTAAACACTTTTACAATAAAAGTTTAAAAATTAATTAAAACACGTCAGTCATTTAAAAGAACATCGGCCACCATCGTCGAACACTAGTTGTTGATTGGTTATATCTGGCCAGTCATGCATCAATATGGTTGTCTGTAGTTAGAGATCTAGTTGTTGACTTGGCCAAAATCTGGCTGTTCTCGACTAGATCGATGCATGATTGGTTATGCGATATTGGTAGTGGTTGTTGGTAGGCGATGGTGGTCTTGGGTAAATTAATTTTTCATATTGGAAGAAGAGAAAAATAATGAGAGAAAGAAAAAAAAATGTTTTGAGTTAAATAGAGTTAGGATAACAATTCCCTCCTTTTCATTTTTAGAAAAAAAATGTTAATTTGATTTAGATTAATTTTAGAATAAGAATAATAATCCCAGTAAATCGAATACATAATCTATTTTTTAATACAAATAGGAAAACATGGTATCCCCATCAGCCAGGGGCTTGGATATTTTAAAGAATATAAAAATCTTCATCTTTATCTTCGATGTGTATTGCTTGAGAAAATTACATACCGCACCGCATCACAGTTATGAGAATAGTCAATTCAGCTTTCAAACTTCCCAATTCTCAATTCGTTGCCAACAGCCAAGCATGCAATCCTTCCGATTAATTAATTTTATCATTATATAAATAAATATAAAAATAAAAACAATCTCGTAAAATTGAAAAGAAATCTTCAACAAGCGACCGTTCTCGATGTCTCGGGCTTCTTTCTTAGCACTACCCGCCACCGATTAGCCTCCATTTCTCGCTCTATCAGCTCGGTCTTTTCTAAGAATTTTGTTAAAAGAACAAGACAAAGAAGGAAGATATTCGAAGATTCTTTTGATTTTGATTTATTTTATTTATTTCAACGACTGCTTGTTTGGTTGGATTTAGTTGATTGTAGTAATCTGATCAAGAAATTACCATGGCGAGCCGTACAGGGGATCTGGTGAGCCAAGTCCATCCAGCTCACCAGCTTGACCTCGACGTTTTGCTGCGTTACGCCTCTGCTAATGTCTCTGGCTTCCCTTCATCTCCTTCTCATTTCAAAGTCTCTCAGGTTATTTATCTCTCTCTCTCTTTTAATTTTGTTTGATTTCTTAATTTGTTTCTGTATTTACTTGTGTTTTGGTTTAGTTTGGGCATGGACAATCGAATCCGACGTTTCTGTTGGAAGCAGGTTCGGGAGCCACAGTGAAAAGGTACGTTTTGAGGAAGAAGCCTCCCGGCAAATTGCTCCCGTCTGCTCACGCTGTTGACCGGGAGTTTCAGGTGACATTGATTATTTTTCATATTCCTTTTTGTATTTTTATATCGACTTCATTTGGTACTGATCTACTGTTTAACTACTAGTGTGTTTGGAAGTATTCATGGGAGAGTGAGAAGGTAGATATATATGCATTTTTAAAGCGTTTCTATAAAAGAAGAGTTTTTAACGGAAAGCATCTTCCACAAAAAGTACTACCAACAGTACTTTCAGCATTTTCTGTCTACTGAAATATATGTTGAATTTGACATTTATCAGATTTTTATAATTATTACATCTCGAAACACTTCTTCAATAATAAGATTGTAATTTGAGTGTGCACTACTTTTTTTTTTTTTTTTTGTGAAGAAGAAGAAGAAGAAACTATGACAATATCATTGACCGGAAAAATTCTTACTATAGAGTATGAGCTATTTTAATAACACTAGTTATGAAGTCTGACAGGTCTAAAAATCACATGGCCACTTTTTAAAAACCTTTCTCAGTTTTTTCGTGTAATCAATTAGCTGAGGAATTTTGAAATTCTTGATGTGACAGGTACTCCGTGCATTAGGTGATCATACTGCAGTTCCAGTTCCGAAAGTGTTCTGTTTGTGTACTGATCCAAATGTTATTGGAACTGCATTTTACATCATGGAATTTTTGGAAGGGCGTATTTTTATAGACGCTAAGTTACCGGTAATGCATTTGGTCTTTATCTTTGATCGTCAAACTGAACTTGTAATACAAAGACTTGATTCTGATTACTGAAGAATTTGGTCTGGGCTTCAAAGCTTGAAATTACTGTTCTGTTTGATTAGGGTGTGGCACCGGAAAGGAGGAGAGCGATATATCGTGCAACTGCAAAAGCATTAGCTTCTGTACATTCAGCTAACGTAGATGCCATTGGTCTTGGAAGATATGGACGGCGAGACAACTATTGTAAGCGGCAGGTGATTGTGCTCTTTGAAAGTTTTGGCTGTTATAATGCATCATTATTATTTTAATTTTACACAATAGTTTCATGAATTGAGTTAAGGTTGTGTTCTTAATAGAATTGGATTACAGTGCAATAAATGAGAATACTATATTGTTTCTTAAATCTAAGTAGCACTTTTGAATTTTGTGCTTATTTTAGATAGAGAGGTGGGCTAAGCAATACATTGCTTCAACTGCTGAAGGGAAACCTGCTAGCAATCCAAAAATGTTTCAGTTGATTGATTGGTTACGTCAAAATGTTCCACCAGAAGATTTAACAGGAACAACAGCAGGCCTAGTTCATGGGGACTTCCGTGTTGATAATCTTGTATTTCATCCCATTGAGGTCTAGTACTCCTAAAGTCTTAATTAATTCAAATTGTAATTTTTTTTTTTTTTTTTTTTATATATAACTTGGTGTTATATGTATTTCATTTATCCAATATATGATGATTAGCTCTAATTTGCCAGTCTGACATTTAATTATCAGAGAAAATTGGCATGGGATATATTGCTCTTTATACTTCAACTGTTTCTTGATTTTGTCAAAGCTCAAAATATGTGAAATTTCTCAGAAGAACTTACATAATCTGAGTTGCAGATCTGATGATTTATTTATAATGGTTCAGGATCGAGTGATTGGTATTCTCGACTGGGAATTGTCTACTCTTGGAAACCAGATGTCTGATGTTGCATACAGTTGTCTGGTACTAAGCCAATTTTTAAACATCAGTTTTGTCATGGAACGTGCTAGACTCTATTATCTTTTCTTGTTTCTGTATTTCACATGCCTTTCTGTTCTGTTGAAGCTTTCTTTTTGCTAATTGACATATATATCTTTGTCATGTTATAAGTTTTTGTTGTTGACCCTTTTTAACTGATTACTAGTTCCCTTTCTTGGCAGCCTTATCTTGTGGATTATGGGAACGGAGGAGTGGATCAAGGTTTTGAACTTACTGGAATTCCAGAAGGGATTCCCTCACAGGCAGAGTTTTTGGAAGACTACTGTTCCGCAGCTGTAAGACCCATTAAGCAGCTTTGATTAAAATGCCATCTTTGTGCTCTACCTTTTTTTTTTTTTTTTTTTTCTCTTTTAAATTTTTATCATAGAATATTGTTGCCTAAGAGGTATTTAAGGACTCATTTGGAAGATTCTTTAAGTGGTTCTCTTTTTACCACAAAAAGGGTCTACTAGATGTGAGGAGACAGTAAGCATACATCATGTCGGTGCAGCTAAGTGGTACTGATCTTTAAGTGATTAGGTTTTGTAGAGTGAAGTACTCCAAATGTTTTCTAATGGAAAATGATGTCTGTTTGATGTATTGCACTTTAATTACATGTGAACCAGGGATTTACTTGCTGAAAATAATGAATAATTCTATTTAAATAATGGTCTTGATTATTTGACAGGCATTACTCCTTATGAAGAACTTACTTATAACACTTATGTTGCAGGGAAAACCATGGCCTGCTGTAGCATGGAAGTTCTATATTGCGCTTGCCCTGTTCCGTGGGGCATCAATTTTCACAGGCATATATAATAGATGGCTTATGGTATTCTTTGAAGAAAAAGAGTTCGTACTTGAATGTTAAATTTGATTAGGCTTTTGTTATGGAGGATCAATCCATACATATCTTATATTATTTACTGTGATATGCAGGGTAATGCTTCAGGAGGTGAACGTGCTCAGAATTCAGGAGTTCGAGCTAACTGTCTTATAGATTTTGCACTTTCTTTTATTGCGAGGAAATCTGTGCTTCCTGAGTTCCCTCCATCTGGTAACTAAACCATTGCTCAGTGTCATTGGTCTCAGGATTTATTTTTTGAGCATATCATCATGCTTATTTTTCNGGCAAGATCCAACCGGTCATGCGCCCATACGGCGACTCCGGCCACCTCCGGTGGTGGTCGCCGGCTGGGGGTGTTTGAGGGTGGGTTAGGGGTATTTTTGTTAACTTTTAATGTTTTATTATAGGGGGTATTTTGTAAAAAAACAAACATAAAAGGTATTTTATTAATTTATAAATTCTACCTCGTAATACCCGCCCAATTCAACTTTTTTTTAACTTTTTTCAAAAAACTTTTCCCAAAACCCCCAAATTTTGAACCAAACGCAGCCATAGTTTTTGTCTTTTTGATGAATTAATGTTAATTTAAATATGTTTAAAACACCAATGTTTTAAAACCCGACCCCGCCCGGTCGGTTGAACCGGTTCAACCGGGACCTGGAAGCTTCAACGGATCGGGTTTATGCTTTTTATATTCACCCAAAACCCTAAGATTTGGGAGGGTGATCGGTGATCAATTGACGGCCAGAATCATGGGGCTTTTGAAGATAAAGGGTCGGTGAATGCAATGGTGTTGATGGCGTTGATTTTCGGTAAGTAAATCGACCAGAAATTTAACAAATCTGGCAGCGGCAACAATGGGATTTTGCTGGTGATTGGCGAGGCTAACGGGGGTGGGGTGAGGTGGGTTTTGGTTAGGAGAAAGAGATGAGTAATTCCTAGGTGATGGGGAGGGCTGTCGACGTCAACGTTGGTGGGATCTGGCCAAAATAGAACCTATTTTGGTCAGATCTTGGGTAAATTTTAATGGAAATAGGCTCAAGGGACGATTGAGGTTGCATCTGGGGTATCATCGCTGCCAATTAGTCGTCGATTGATTTGTATTCGGGGTGTGTTTGAACATATAATAACTTATATATAATTTTTAAGAGTATTGAATTTTAAAAGTTTTTATCAATCAGTTAAACCGATTAACTAAGGACCCAAAAACTTTACTGGGTTTCGGGTTAGGTTTTGAAACATTGTAAAACACACATTTATAACACCAAAAATTAATGCATAACCGGATTCCTTCCGGAATACGTTTAATTGATTGCATATAAATACAATAATAATTAATGACAGTTTAAAAATCATACAATATAAGAAACATATTCTGATTAGATTGCAATGGCCTAGGAATAGGGTAATCCAAAGATGATTTTGTCTCCACGTGCAGGCCATGCATGCTTCATTAACCCTGGAATCTTTCAATCTGCACTTTTTCAGGAATATGTTTTAACTTCCAGGCAAAACATCGGGTAGGTGATAATATCAGCTCAAATAAGATCTTGCATATTTTATTTTATATTTTACAATTCCTCACTATTTTAATTTAGAATCCGAAATAACCTGTGAATTCTGAATCGAAGTCAACTAATTAATTAGCTTTAAACTAACTTGAAAATCAGATGGAGCTTATGTTATTGACATCGTATTGTGAAATTTTGCTTAGTTAGAAGAATTTGTGATTTGGCTAAGAATTTAGTTCGGTTAAAAAAGACATTTGTATTCAAGAATTTAACACCCTGTCACTAAGGTTAGTACTAAGTTGCTTCTTTGATGATATGTTTATATCTAAGTATTCATTTCTGCTTTTGACAAGCATAAGTTGATCTGTTTTGCCTAGTTTTATCCATATGATTTTTTGCACTTGAGTTAATGATACTTGAAACAGTGGAGTCATTTATGACAGCGTTCTTGTGATGAATTTTGCTTAGTTAGAAGGAATTTGTGATTTGGCTAAGAATTTAGTTCGATTTAAAAAGACATTTTGTATTCATTGATGTATAACTTGTGAAACTTGCATTGGTTTACTAGTTGTGACTGCGATCATTAAAAGTTTTTTCTGCAATGAATTTTGTAAAAAGTCAGTTACGCAATCGAATGAAAATCAATAATAAATATTGTTTGGTCATCTATTGAGAAGATGTATTTGATACAATGACGATGAGACGATTATCCACATCAATGAATGATGATTGCTTGATCATCTATATTGAGAAAGATGTATTTGATACAATTGACGATGAGACGATTATCTACGTTTTAAAATATAAAATTCGTTAAGACAATCGTAAAAAATTTGTTTGATTTTTACAAAAAAAATTGTGTTTTTTAAATATATTTATTTTATTTTCTAAATTTTTGTTAAAATTCATCATATGAAAAAATTAAATTGTATAATATGAGTGGTTTTAATTTTTTTTTTTTTTTTTTTTCCCATCGTGTGAAATTCCTAATCAGAGCTGGTTTTAACCATGTTTATTGTGTAGATTACAGAAAATAAAATAATATAAAGTTAAGAAAAAAGAAAGAACCAACTTATTCCATCTACAGAGAAAAGTTCATCTCTTTCATCTTCTGTCTTTAATTAGATGCTCTACATAAAGCCAAAAAAAAAAAAAAAAAAAAGGTTTATTGTCATTGAGATGATCAACGTTAATAATAATACAATTTAGAACGTTTAATTAGAGGTTAGTGTTTGTCATTGTGGATGCAGGATCCGAGTTCAGATCGAAACCCGAAATTTCTTCTGCAGCTCCTCTGTTTTGCCCCATTATCTCTCATTATCATTGTTATTAACACCGTTATCCCCGTCGAAACTTTCGGCTTCGAAGCGTGGTCGCCATCCTTTCTCCGTCACTTACGCCTCCCGCCGTTACTCTTTTCGAAATACTTAACCGCCACTTGTATCCTCTTGAGTATCGCGAAAAACTCGTCTACCTCATCATCGTTCACCGTCGGTCCTCCGTTAACATCGTTTCCCTTTTTCTGTTCGACTCCGTCCTGTTCTCCGTTATCTCCCGTTTCCTTTTTTCTGCGTTCATTTTCCGTTTCGAAAAGCGTCGCCGTAAGAGAGAAACTTTTTTTTCTTTAGTGTGTGTGTGGGGTTTGTTATGGAAGGTGCTGCATCTCTTATTATATGAGAGCCGGTGTTTGAAATTCCAATCAAAAGTAAAATGACGGTAGTGATGGGTCGGTGATGCAAAGGCATTACGTCATAGGAACCACGTTAACATGACGATTTAAAACGTGTAGCAGCCACTTTGTTCCACTTTCCAGTTGTCGTATAGAGTACTAGACAAACGCGCCCCCTCTTTTATTCTATTTTTTAAAATCTCGAACAATTACTATTATTATTGAACTGTTATTTTGTATATCATTCATATCACATGGTTTTTATAAGTTATACAAAATATTTTTTTATATATGAAGAGCTTTTCAACCATAACACTTTATTATAAACAATAAAAAAATTAATTTTATCAAAAATATAATTTTTTATCCATAACATGAAAGACATTATAATTGAAATTTACTTTTTAAGCATGGTAAACTTCACAGAACAACATTTTTTTTTTTTTAAAAATTAATTGGACTATACAAATAGTGATATAATTAATGGGAATTTTCAAGTTTGTATGAAATCTGTATTATTTTGTTTTGGAAATTTTCGAAATAAATAATCTAATAAATATAATAGAAAATGTTTACGTCATAATCTCTTTTACAAATTTTCTCTCACAATTTCAACTGACAGTTTACAATCAATCAATCATAATTTATCAAGTGTAATTCGAATGGGCTCATTATGACCAATAATTGGAATGACTGATAATATGATTACAATTACAATTAATTTTTTATTAAATATAATATGAATTACATATTTAATGAGTGCCTAGTATTTTTTAATACCATTAGATTAACAAAGATATGTCTCTCAAAAAATGTAAAATTTAATTTATAATATCCTGTTCCTATCTCAGTAAATAAATTAGTTTTCATATTTTAAATTTGGATTACTAGAATATATTATTGATAAATTTAATTGATGATTCTCCAAAAGATAGCATTACCTTAGTAACGACATAAGAAAAAAACATGTTAATTGTTGAATTATAAATACCCATGCCGAGGAAGAAAATGGTAAGATAATGAAAATTATGCAGCTGATATATTTTAGATTCTTATAATTTTAAAATATGCTCTCTTTATATAATTTACTTTAGCTAACTGAGTTTGATTGTTCCGCAAAGGGTTCATTTTGTAAAAGAGTCTCAAGATCTTCTGCAATCGCACTACCGAAAAAAGGAGAGAATTAATTTTTACTTTAGCTTTTTACAAAGTATTGGATGCTATTGGTCATGGTCATGGACCCATTATGTTATTCAGATATTAATTAATTCATGGTAAAATTTTATTTCAAAAACTTTATTACTACTTGTATCTGTCAAAAACGTATTTGGTCTTGTCAGGTCCAATAATATGTACACTAATAAAACCATAGATTTTATCGTTTTACTACTGATATGGCAATGGGAAATCTCATTCAAATTACTACATAATACAAAAACAAAATTTTAAATTTCATTGAAAATACTAAAATTATCCGGTACAGTACTTCCACAGACAAAAGCCCAAAGCCATTTAAAACGGTCTGGATCCATAGCCGATCAGCATTCAAATCCAAGCCCATTTTTTTCTGTGCGTCGTTCGTCACTGTTGTCATCTCCTCTGTAACTTGTTATTTTCTGTTTCTGATTTCCCACTCCAACGCCGCTCTGCTCGTAAATACTTCCTTCACCGACGCCGTTATCCTCTTGAAGTAATTAACCGCCACATGTTCTCTGCTAGTATCGCAAAGAACTCGTCGACCTCCTCCTCCGTCACAGTCGTCCCCTCCGTTAACTTCTCGCGCCTTTTTTTGTGACCCGGATTCGCCGTCGTCGTTTTGCCCCAGTTTCCTCTTCTCTGGCTCCGTTCTTTTACCTTCAGACATCTTCGATAGTTGTGTACAATCTGAGGTGTATTTTTGTAAGTCTCTTGTATTCTCTGTGAAGAGAGAGGCGGAACTCGGAAGTTGATATTCGTGGTAGTGATGATCGTTATGTCAATTATCAGTTAAAGAGCCTGTGCATGACAACGCATTGCCATTAGTACATCAAGCAAAACG